ACTTCTCTATCAAGTGGTACATCCCACAAAAACTAAAAATAAATTTTAAGACAACTCTTTTTTTTGTAAAATAAATTTATCTATGTCAACAATCTAATAAAAATATTACTCCATCTGTTTATTAAAACACTTGCTCTTTTATATTTTTCAATTTCTCTAAAACACTTTCAGTTTCTATCAAAAAAAATTACTTTTAACCATATTTTTCTAACTCTACCCATTTTATTATATTTTTTATTACTCCGTAATAATTTATCTATCACATCTTACTTTTACCTGTCACATTAATATCAAAGTTGAAAAGTCAACTATAAATATACATTCCTTATTATGCTATATGTTGTGGGCCGTGAGGACCCTCCGTCACGCCCCCCCCCCTTCCATAACACCTCTTCCGGTTAGCGGGCGTTGCCCCTCTTCCAGTGACTTCCCTCATGGGCATTGCCCGTCCACCTCTTTTTTTTTTTAATTTCAACCGATCAAAATTTAACACACATTCACTTCTCAGTTCTCATCGCATTCCTTTACTGTCACCATAACATATATTTTTAATCACTTCGCATCATACACCTTTACGCTCCGTCAAGTTCCGCCAAGCCCCCCCCCTCCCGTCCTGTCCGCCATAACACATGGTCTTACACTCATTAGTCAAAATAAGAAATCTTTTATAAAACAAAGGGAGTGAATCATCATTATTTATTTATATCGGGCGGATTCGACTCAGATGTAAAATAGGTGTCCAACCCTAGCATCGTTTCAGAATGGGTTCGAGTTTGGCTTCGATAAATAGAATGAATTCGGATCAAACCCAATCCAAACCTCACCCATGGATCAATTGGTCAAAGTGGAATTTTTATGTGGGTGTGTGTTTTGTATTGTTACTAGTTTTAGATGGAGACACCTTTCTAAGATTCATAAGTTGGACTTTTTTTCAGTTCATGTTTCTTGCTTTATTATTATCATTGTTTTTAAGTTTCACTTTTGCCTTCATGTTTCTTTTTTCTCTTGCAAAGCTAATCTCCAATTCATTCTCCTTATAAAAAGATAAAGGTTGGGATTTTGGGAATCCTATGCTCTCTATTTCATAGCAAGCAAAATATTCATTTTTTCTTCAAAATAATCTGTAATTTTGTTTTTGAATTTTTTAAAATTATATTTTCATTTAAAAAAGTAAAATTGTATGATGCATAATACTCCATACGGAGTATTATTTTTCTCTTCCGTATAATTAATGCTATTACTCTCTCCTCGGAGAATAATTGTCTAATTAATTTTGACTTTTTACAATCAACCAGAATTAATGTTTGAAATATTATGAAATAAAAACCACATGGCATATTAACTAGATAAATAAATATTTTATAAAATAAATCTAATAAAATTATTCTTGTATCCATACTTTATATAAATTTTAATTATATTATAGTAAACATATCTCAATTTTGACTGCAAAAGGTCAAAAGTGAACAAATGCCAGGGCTAGTATGATTTAACAATATTCAGTATTGGCCTTTTGGAATTGTTTTTTATTTACTATCCTTTCAAATTGTGTTTAATTTCTGTTTTGATTTCCTAATTTAAAACTTAACAATATTGGTCATGATTTACAATAAAGTTAGGCCGAGTTATAACGGTGTTTTTTCGTTCTTATAAATTCGCAGATGACGTGTTTCCCTATGCTTACAATTTTCAAATATAAGTAGGTCATACATACTTATTTTTAAGCTAATTTCTTGTTTCACTGTTTAGACAAAATTATTTACCAATCTATCTCCCACTATTTATGAATATCTTCAAATGAATTATCTCTATCATATAAGTCATTTTACTTCCACAAAACAATATTTAACTTATAAATAGCTTATAAGTTAAAAATTGGCATGTGATTCTCTTTATTCTTTTTAAAGAGATGCATCTATTCTATTTTTTTTTCAGATTTTTTAAATATTTTTTTAATAATTTTTTTACAGGAACTAACCCTGATCCACTCATGGTTCAAGTCTAACCTGACCATTTCAAATTTCCTCATGAATTAAAAAAAAAAAAGAATTGAAACACGTGTTGGTCAAAAGTTAAGTTTGGTGGTATCAGAAACCTAAACCCCAGGCCAGCTCTTCTTAGCTCCTTTAACTTTGCTCATTTTCTTTTTAATTAACATAATGATTATTTGGATAAATTAAATATCAGAAAGGCATTCTTTTTGGTGTCCCAATTTTTATTCTGCACCGTACATGGTCCCGTTTAACATGAGTGTTAAAGATCAGCGTTAGCATTTTGAAAAAATTATCTAACGATAGCTTTTAAAACGTAACGTTAATTGAAACTGTTATTCCCAAACAAGACCTATGTCCCCCATCTTGTTAGGCCTTAACCATATTCGTTTCCCCACAAAATTGTATGCGTCGAATTTTCACAAAATTTTAAAAAAAACTGAAAAGAAAAAAATGTGTAGTTAGATTTTGTTTCGACGAGAATATATCTTGTGAACCACATATTAATTACTAAAGATAAAAAATCAATTACAAGTTGAGAGTTACGAGGCAACATCTTTCATCTTTTAAAATTATTTTATTAAAAATTGGTATATCAATAAGAAATAAAAATTACTTTACAAAAAATCGTCAATGAAAACATATAAATAAACAAAAATTGTTGATATGAGAGAAAAAATGTAATCTATTTTGGGATAATTCATTTTTTTTGGACAAATGGAATGCTAGTTTAAAAAATCTTTTAAATTCGGAAATACTACATGAATAGTGTATGTTCAAGTTCCTCATAAATAAAGTTATAGTCAATAAATCAAATGAGGGAGTATAAAATCTGCGACCTCAAAAAGTCTTAGCATTGGTCCTCTTGAATCAGTTTGGATTATACATCAATAAATCAAATATAAAAGTGAACATATGTCACAACATGGGTCCCATTATTTTTTGTCCAATTATTTTTGTGACAGAGAAATGTGACATAAAAATTGAGAAAATTAAAATTTTATTGAAGTTAAAAGTAAGAAAACAAACAAGAATGAAGGTAAATTAAACAAATGTTACTCCCTCGGTCCTAAAAGTTTTTTTTCATTTTTGTTTACGAGATTTGACTGAAGTTGTTTTTCAATTCAATTTATTTAAAAATAAATAAAGACTACGTCAAAAGTTAAATAAAATAAAAAAATGATATAACTATATCACTTTATCAAATACTCCCTCCGTCCCTGAGTGTTTGTCCACTTTCATTTTTGCACACCATCCAATGCACTTCTTTAATCCATTTTATCTTGTAATTTGTATATTAAAAAATTATAAAAATTATATATTAATAATCTATATGTTAAGACGAATCAAACAAGATCACACATGACTATTTTTAGGCTTACACATTGAGAGAATTTGATGAGTCAAAGTGCTTAGATGAACAGTTCCAAAAGTCAAAAGTGGACAAACACTCAGGGACTGACCAAGTAACTAACAAAAATAGATGATAAAAAGGTTATTAAAGTTTATCCGTGTAATAGTAACCAGGAAGAAAGTTTACGGATAGAGAGATTACTTAATATGAAAAAGATAAAAGCATAAACAAAATAATGAAAAAGATAAAAGCATAAACAAAATAATGTGACAGAAAAATTACTTCGTAATACGTAGTAAATTGTTTTCACACATGCCCCCGTTCTTGTCACAGAAACATATAATTATTTTCATCACGCTTTCAATATTTTCGTGTTTGAAAATATGCTTGCACCCGCACGAGTGGCTCAACTAGCTAGTCTTCACAAAGGTTGATTAGTCGTCCAAGGTCTCATGCTCGAAATTTGGCAACGACTGTGTGAAGTTTCATCTAATGTAGTAGCTAGACAACATGGTGAAGTTAAATTGTAATTTATTCCTTCACAACTTGTCGTGTCGGGATGTGGGAGCCATTCGGGGCAAAAAATTTGTCTTTGGAGTCCAATGTTTGAAACGGCCCGGTTCCATGGCCATTGGAATCCAGTGGCCATGGAACCGGGCCCTGTTTGAAAATGTGGGACAAAGATAAGGTCACAAGGGGGAGCAAGTGCACTAACACCTAGTTCAAATTGCCAAGGGTTCCAAGAAAGTGTCATGAAAAATTTTTGCAATTCTCGCACTTGTGATTTTGTGAAACAAACAAAGAGTATTATGACTCACTTTTGCAGTGCCTTTACAACTTGTGGGCAGTCACCCCCACAATTCATAATGTTTAGAGTGTGGGTGTGTAGTTGGCAAAGTAAAAGATATCAAACAAGTAGGGAGAAATACCAAAGTAGGACTAAAACATTGAAAATATACCAAAATAGGACTTCCATGTTTTTATTTCCAAAATAGGACTTACATTACCAAACATTTTCATATACATTACCAAAAAAGTATAGTAATTTGCACATGTACACTACCACATTACCACAATGCAAAGTCACATTACCACAATGCAAAGTCTTATTCCGGGAAAAAAAACATGAAAGTCTTATTTTGGTACTTTTCTCTATGTTTTAGTCCAATTTAGGATGATTTCTAAACAAGTAATATTTGAATTTAATTTTCACCAACTGTGCTAAAAAAATATGTTAAACATAAAACCTCTACCGGTACTAGGTTTAGATTCCACTTTTTATAACCAATTTCTAATTCAAACGTAATTTACCTGCGTCAAATGTTTTTTGTACAATGTTTAATAATAACGAAATTATTTAGTTGAGATTTATACTCCGTAATAGCAAAATTGTTTAGTTGATACTCTTTTAATAGTGAAATTATTTAGTTGAAACTTATAGAGAAAATAGAGGGCATTCTATTCAAAATCGTATCAAATTCTCAAAAAAAAACATATATTGATTGAGTTATTGATTAATTTTACCGCTAAATAGATTTGAGAGGTAGTGAGTGTCAGTATTTTGAGTAGTATTTTAATATACATAAATTTACCGCTAAATAATTGAGTGCTCTTTCAATATACATAATCTAATTCTATATAAACCACCATACTCAAAGGAAAATGCTACTTTAATCTAACGAGTGACACCAAACTTGACAATACTATCAAAGACAATCACGCAAACTGTCTATGAGACACGTCGTTGACGCAAGACACTAGCGGTGTTAATTTTGGTGTCATCACTGTCATATGTGAAGTGTGATTGCAGCATGACCCATACTAAAAGCATGCAAGAAACTAGCATATTATGGACATATCAACATATTGTTGCAACCGAGTGATAAACTGTAATATGTGAATACGACGAAATTGAGGGTAAAGAAGTCATTACACAAGACTCTCCATACCTCTATTCATTGTTTGTTGACCCCTTGACTGCCCAAATCAGATGCAGCTTTTGCTGCTCTACTCAAAGCGCCCGATACCCATAGGGCACCCTTGGAGAAATAGGAGCTTCCGACAACAGCGGTTGCTGCAGCCACAGCAGTTCTACTTGTAGCCGAGACAGCCGATTTTGTATTCTCTGAAATGTGAAACCTCTGATCCACTGATCTAGCGGCTTCAACCCCAGCAAAAATCTTGTTGGCAAGGCCAGTCCTCTCGCCTAAATCGGCCACCTTGGCTGCTGCAGTGGCTGACAATTGATATGACTCATCAAGGGCTTTGGCCTTACCCAAAGCATCCTTCCCTAGCACATACCCTTTGGATACCATTGCTTTCACCACGTCTTGGGCCATCGTCACAGCTTCACCAGCAGAAGGAAAGTATTGGACCTCTTGCCCATGCCCCTAAAAGGTTAGATATTAGCCAATAGGAGATTGATAACACTGAAACATACCCTAACTTGGGAATGAGTATAGAAAAACTTTAGGGTCTGTTTGGACCTTGGAAAGTAATCGGGAAAAATAAAGGAAGACGGGAAAATCAGATAGGACAAGAAGTGTTGAGTGTGTTGGTGGGCGGAGAGGGGGGTAAATATAGGCATTGAGTTTATTTCAGATGTTTGTTGATGGTAAGTTTATAATATACTCAGCATTTATTTATACCTATCTATTAGCTTCTTGCTAACTTTCCTTATCATTTAGAGAAAGGCTGAACTGTACTAGGTATTTCAGAGTACTGATCATCTTTTCCTAACTACACGTGCTTACTCGTACTTATAATCGAACTATACTACTACGGAGCATAATGTATCCTACTATATCTACACTCCAGATATACTATCCTGCTGGCTCCTTTTTTTGAGGAATGTTATGTGCACCCTCACCCTTAGTGTGAACCGCACCCCCAATAATACTTCATCCATGTCCATAAATTGATGCTTCTTTTCTCATTTTTGTTTCTTTTACACCTGTCACCTGCCGGCCGAAAATTTCAGTTTTAGGACGAGGGTGCACGCAGCATTCCGCTTCTTTTCCAGTTCCATCATGGAACTCGTAATTGGCAGAAACTAATTGTACCTGAAGTGCCCAAAATAAGTGAAAAAGGGATAGTATATAAGGAAAGAGAATTACGGTCGAATCACTTGCTTCTTCAGATTTCCAAGGCGGATTCCAATAGTCATATTCATTTTCACAGTGACCCCAACGGGCTATGCATACATGTTGGTCCAATATTGTTGCACCCTGGGCAGTATGAGTCGGGCCAACAAACACAGGGGGAAAAAGGGATGAGAAAAATTTATTTTACTCGTACACAATATTTTGAGACCCTTTATAAAAAGATACGCAAGCATGCCCAAGTTGTGAAATTAAGCTACTAGTAAATTAACCATCACAATATTTAGGCATAAAACAATTGTCTCACAGCACATTTTTTGAAAAAAAAATAGAAATTGAGATGAAAATGTGAGATCGGTTACTGCTCCAATGGTTAAACCTGATCACCAACCAGTTAAAACTTAAAAGGTAGGTTTACTAAAGGTTAGAAGTATGCAAAAACATCACCCATTTCTCCATATTTGAAACTAAACTTAAAACAAGTTCCAAACTTTATAGATTTAAATGTTTCATATACTTAAATAAGAGAATAAAAGCTTCTCGTGTACCCAGACTAGTAACTAATTGGCCCCAGAAGGTAGCGTAAATAATTGAGGCCTTGAGAGAGTCAAAATAAGCTCCACACTCTGAAGAGAAGTATAGTAAATTTTAAGTTGTAGAACTTACACTGAGCAAAACAGCTGTTTCAAGAGCGTGAGAAGATCTAAATGTCACATACGCTGTACTTCCATGTTCACCAGCTCTGATTTTTTTCACCAACATTATCAATACAAGGAAACAAAGACAAAAACAAAAAAAACTACTCCATATTTGAATATGTAACACAAAACAACAAACATATTATTGTATGCGATCATTCAGTCTTTTCAGACTACTAGAATAACATAAATGGGATAAACATGTGACCATCAGGGGATTACTCCACGAATCATGCACATAGAATTTACAAAACAGATTAACCGAATAATAGCAATAAAAAATTAGGCATACTCAATAAGTCATGAGAGGAAAACAAACCTAAGTCAATACAATACCCAACATCAAGAATGTCTGAAATCTGAAGATACAGATAAATCAACATATTCCAACCAAATAAAAGATTTATGTACAACCTGACTATCTCAACATGATCAATCTTCCCACAGAGAGCAAAGAAATCACTAACGTCCTTCTCTGTAGCAAGAGGGGACAGGCCAATAACTTCAGCGGTATAGCCACCTGGATTCATGGTTGCAGGTGCCACCAGACTTCAATAACCAAAAAAAAGAGAGAAAAAAGTAAAAATTCATGTGAGAAAGGCTTCAGTTGAAGAACACTCAACTAGCAGAAAGAAACAATTGAAGATGATTCATAACAAAATCAGCAAAAAGACAAGAAGACGAAGCTGTTAAGCGCAAAAAAACCCCAATTCGATAACCTACTGCAAAGTTAATTGCCCCAGGAGCTCCAATCGAGTATTTATTTCCGAAAAAACTTCAATCGAACCACGAAATTGATGTGAATCAAAGCAGTACACAGTACACGAAGTAAACTACGCCGCAGAAATCATTCAATCGAAGGATTATGAATCCGTTTATATCATTACATGAACAGAAACGTAAAGAAGAAGATAAACACGAGGATTAGTACACGAAATGATCTGGGCTCCATACCTTTGGTTATAGGAAGATGAGATGTCGACCGATAGCCAGGAACTAAACGGTTTGAAGCACCGATCGATTGAAAAAATATAAAATATGACTTTTATATTTTTTTTCAAAATAGAATTTCGCACTAGTATAATATTATACTGTACATGTACACCTTACTATACATTTTGGTAATGTATCATGTTTGGTAATGTAAATGTATTTTAAGTCTTATTTCGAGAATAAAACATGGAAGTCCTATTTTGATATATATTTTAAATGTTTTAGCCCTACTTTGTTATTTTTCCAAAAATACGGAGTGAGCTTATTTTTAAAACAATTGTGGAATTTAAATTATAAAATTAGAATTGAGAATAATAATTTTAATTTTTTGTTTGACAACACAAAAATTTGTAAATTTGGAAATGGTAGTACCAAATCAACTCTATAGATTTTAATTTTCAATTTAATTCTAATTTCGTTAATTAATTTCATATACCAAATGGATTTTAATAAGGTTTCTTATAACATTGCAATTGTGATCTCTACGACTATCGATCTATTCGTAAAATCGATCGTTCCTAACCCGCACAACCCCCTAGTGAACACCCATGCCCCGGCCCGGCCCTAATGCACCCATGCGTCCTCTCCAATCGAAAATACCTATGATTTTGGTTAAATATTTGACCACAAAGTCAAAAAAATGAATAATTATGCTTGGAGAGGATGGGTGAGTGCGTTAGGCTTGGGTCGGGGGCGTGAGGGTTTACCAGAGGGTTATGGAAGTAGGAACAATCAATTTTACGAACGGAGCATCGTAAATGTCCTGATTGCGCTGTTGTAAGAAGTGTTATAAAAAATTTATAAACTATCATTGCTTTTTCGTGGTCGGCCCACATGTGAAATGTGACTAAATGTGGATCTGATCAATACTTTTTATGAAATGGGAAATGAATATTTTTTTAGAGTGCAAAATACTTAATTCTTTTAAAATATCAACACATAAAAGTCTATAGAATAAGAATAAATTTTAAGAGCACGAGAGAATTTATCTATAAATTGATGAGGAGAGATATTCATTTAGCCTCGTATAAATTTTTTTTTAGCTATGCATTAATCTTTAAAAGTTAATCTTTAAAAAGGAAGGTAAAAATTATTTTGGGGCGTTAAAAATGAAAGAAGAATAGTTATTTTGGCCTCGAGGGATCGGAGTTCTTTGTACGTAAAAACTACTTCGTTAATGTAAATGGTGATTAAAATTTATCTAGTTTGGCCAAAACAATTCAACTTAATAAACGAAAGAAATATGGAATATAAAAAGGAGGAGTAATATTATTTTTTTCAAAATAAATAAAGTAATTAGAGTGTCAGTGTCAGTGTATGTCTTTGTTATATAATTGTAGTACACTTTTTATTTATGTATCCTAGTATTTTTCAAAATAATTTGATTGTATGAACTATGGAACAAAGTATGCCCGTATATAATAATCGTGGGCAGGAAGCCTAGAAAGAGCCATTTTTAGCAATTGCTTTTCTTGGAGAACTTCTGCCGGTCTACGGCTCCTTTTTACTTTAAAGTTTAAACACTTAAATTTTTTATTCAAACATAATGAATTTAATTTAAAGAACTTTACTATCAATTCTTTCAAATTTAATTTAAACTGTTAAAAAACATAAACGTTAACATTAATTATAAATAAAGCTTCTTTCTTAGTTTAACTGTTTAAGTAGTAAGAAACCAACCACCTCCAAAAGTTTTTAAAAGAAAACATTATCCAAAATTCAATCATGGACGAACTTTGAGCTATAATTAAGTAAAAATTATAATGTATATTAATATAAAAATAATTTTTATATATTTAAGTTGTCTAGAGCTTTCAAAAATTTATTCTATTGTATCATTTTGCAATACAAATTGAGAGTAATTAATGAATAAAATCTATATAATTTGACTCAAAAAAGTTAAAATAGACAAATATTCTGCGAAGGAGAGAGTATCTTTCTTTTGGGATTTTTGCGTTTTTATCGATATTTTTAGTTGACCCTTATATATATATATATATATATATATATATATATATATATATATATATATATATATATATATATATATATATATATATATATTCCATCATCTCCAATGGAGCCAAAATTTCACCATTTTTTGGCTTTGGGGTGTGATAGAATAAATCAAAATGGATCTCTAAACTGTCTGCGCTTCTTTAATTAATGAAGTAGCAGTTAGTCAAGCAATGCAACTTTCGACGTTGAGCCGGGGGTCTCTTTGGAAACAGCCTCTCTACTTTCGAGTAGGGGCAAAGTCTGCGTACACACACCCTCCCCAGACCCTACTCTTGTGAGATTTAACTGGGTTGTTGTTGTTTATATATATATATATATATATATATATATATATATATATATATATATATATATATATATATATATATATATATTCTTAACCTTCATTAAATTATCTTTAGCATAAGAAGAGGTTTACATTTTACATTATTTTTTATAGAATTCTAACACGGAGTAGTAATTATTAATCAAAGTTTAATTTGATTGGTTTGATTGTAAAAGTATAAATGAAAATTCTTGCAGAAAATTTCATTCTCCTAATCATTCCATGATGGTTAATAAATTACCAAATATTAACTCCCGGGAGTCGACAAGGAGAAATCTATAAAATGTGACTGTGGTACGTGTTTTTGACAGACCAAATAAACAAGGGCAATGCTAGAGTACACCAAATGATGTGCCTCATTTGTACACCAAGACGAAAATAGACACACACAGACACTCAATCAAGCATAAAGATCCGAGAGGCGACATCCTGTACCAGCCAATCAAATCCTTCGAGAAGCCCTTCTCCCGTAAACGCACTACACCCCACGATTCTCCAGTGCCGGCTTTTATCCATAGCGTCCAAATCAAGCACCTGCCCAGAATGAGATAGTATTAAAAATGATAGGGATTCGTTTCAAATAAGCTTTAGAACGGCTTTTTATAATGTCAGGGGTACACCAAAATGGGGTACTACATTTGTATACCAAGCAAAAACAAACACACACAGACACTCTCCATAAACATTGAGTGTCTTTGTGTGTCTGTTTTTGCTAGAGTAAGGTCCGGGTAGGTCTTTTTTTTATGAACTTTGGTGGTTATATACAAGGTGTTTCATTTCACACAAAGATGATAGAATATGTTTTTCTATGCTTGACTAGAAGGTGAAGCAGTCTGCCCGGCTGATATGGGTCATTGGATTAGCATTGGCCCTACAAGTCAAACGCAAAAGATCCTGACCAAGCACAAAATAAGCATTCGAGTTTATAGAGGGGAAAAGACTATCCGGTCTCCTATTTCTTGCAAGCATCCATTGCCTTGTTTGAATGTCACTACAGTCGTATAGTTAAAAGTGTCCTAAGTTTACAAAGATATTTAATCGTAGAAAGTCTAATCACATTATAGTAATTATACAAATTATACATATGTATATATACAAAAAGACAGTATGCAAAATCTTACTTTAGCTATTTCGTCTGGAGAAAGAGCACCTTGTATGTCCTGTTTATTTGCAAAAATCAATAATGATGCTCCTGATAGCCTCTGTCAAGTGCCAAAAGAGTATAATAAATCAAAATTCAAATCCATAAAGTGATGCGATACTATGTGTTAAGCCAGGCTTGGGGGATAAGAGAAAAAACAATGGTTTGCTTAGTTGGTCTCATTACTTGAAATTAAAAAATAGAGGACACCAACGGCAGCAAATCGCAGCATCATGTTCATGGTTTATATAAATAATTACCACAAACAAATGTTACCAAGCATAGTGAAGGATCTCTAAGAAATTGGGCATGGTGGAAGTGTTTCTGGTTCCAAAGATTCATGAAGTTTGTGGCAATCATGGCATACTCCCTTCGTCCAAAAATAAACTTCGCACTTTCTTCTTTGGTCGTCACAAAAATAAACTTTACAATTCTCCTTTTTACTATTTAGAAATGAAATATGTGCCCCATAATCTTTCTCTCATCTCTAATTAGCTTTTAACCAAGCACCTACTTTTCAACACTTTTCCTGAACTGTGAAATCAAACCCAGAGTTTATTTGGGGACAAAGGGAAAAACAGCAAAAATAGTACCAGTATACAATTTATTATCGGGTAGCCCTAGTTTACCCAATGCCATAAACTTGTATCTATAAAAAAATGTTTAAAATAACCGGAGTAAATAAATAAAAACACTGACATGATCCTCGATCTGCTCCACCAAGTGGTAGCCCTGACACACACAAATTATATACTCCTATTTTCCAAATTAAAAGTGTCTTTTGCTTCTACCATTATTTTAATGAAAACAAGTAAAATGTAGTTCATTTTATAAAATTGTACTTCAAGATCAACAAGCAATTTCAAATAGTCAAATCATTTCTAGAAAATCATGAAACCATTATGATTGAGATAATAACCTTGCTTTTGACAAATGCTGTGGTGGAAATTCAGAGAACAGGAATCCTTTTGGGTTATCCAGTTAAGATCAAATACTAGCTTAATCCTCACACCGCTTAAACAAATATTAAGTACACTAGCTATTTTGTATGGAAAAAACTCTTTGCTCCCAAGCAATTAAACTTTGCTCCCAGGCCAAAAACTAGCTGTGGACAATAGTACAATACTGGTGCTGTGATTCTGGAGAAGCTTAAGGAGAGAATTGAAGCACAATATAACTTTTTTTTAAAAAGTAACAGGCCAGGCTAGCCAGCAAATACCTACCGAAACATGGTGTTAAAGATCGTATATTTGAAATCTTTAGTCCTTGTACAGATACTTATCTAAGATGTCTTGTTGATCTAGATAGGCTTGGCCTTCCTAGTTTGAGATTGGAATTCTTGTAAGGTTGCTTCTAATAATATCTTCTCTTATTGAGTTATTGATTCAAAAGAAAATAGAGGGAGAAAAGTCTTGTTGAGCCAAATGCAATGAATTGTGAGTGTGCCATGGGGAGTATTGTTGAGCCGGGGGAGAGAGGTTGAGAGGTCAAAGTATACGGGTATACCTCTTCTTTCAAAAGATTGTGCAATTCATATCTGCAGTCATTTAACCTTCTAATATCGGAACTGTCCACCACCCACACCAAGCCATCAGTTTGTTCAAAGTAGTTCCTCCAATAAGACCTTATGGTTTTTTGCCCCCCAACATCCCATATATTTAGTGTATACCTGCCAATAATAAAGTCATGTAAATAAAATCAGAGAAATATCCATGAAGTGCAAACAATGAGAGAGGATAAAAGCACTGGTGGTCGCTAAACTAATTTTTGTACTCAAAATGATGGTCACTGAAGTAGCTAATTATTTTCATTCAGGTCTAAGACACAAGAAAAATGCCCTAAATGAGACTATACACACACAAAAAATGAAAAGGCAAGTTGAAGTCAGATTTCAAAATAAATGCAATAGCTATAATACACTTGCATTAAATACTTTAAGGAAATTTTGAGTTAACCAACCTCTTGTGTCTTTTGTTAATGTATAGAATAAGTGTCCCCTCCACCATACCCCAACCCCACCTAAATGCCGCAAAAACATGAGCATAGAAGCAATCCTTTTGGACAATCTATTAAGATAATGTTTCCACCATTTAGTACAAAACAAATTATCCCTATGTGGAAATGGTTATGTCCCCATATTAACTTTGCCGCTATATTCTTTCACCCATTCCCAAATTATCTTTCCATTCCTTCTAAAAAAAGTAATTGTGATTGATAGAGTTTCTTTCTTGTCTAAGTAAACCTCAACTACATAGTTCTATTATATTAGTAAGTGCGCTCAAATAAAAGCAAATGAGAAGCTAATTTGGTCGGAAAAGGAATTGCATCTTCACCCATTGCCAATGGAGCTAAAAGATTCAATTTTGACATAGTCTTAGCTTCGGCTAATAATTACCTAACTCAAAATGGCGCATGAAACTAGTCTTTTTTCTTGCTTTTTGTAAAGTTTGAGGAAGTAAATGCTGCCTCAAGGGTTTGGCAGAAGCAACCTCTCTTTTTTTACAAGGGTAAGGTTGCACACATATTGACATCACAGGCCCAGCACAGTTGGGATTAATAGTGGATTTGTTAGTGTCGTTGTTGTATAAAGGTATTGAATCAACTGGCTTGGAAAACAAGCTCAAGACTAAGTTGCACGGGAACGGGAAGGTACTCACACGGGGAACAACTTTTCCCGATTCTATAAAGAATTTGGGTCAAAAATTGGACGTTTTGAGCACGGAAAACATCACATGTTTGAAGAATCCGTGCAACATAGGCTCAAGATACAATGAATACTGGGAAAGCGAAAGCAAAAACCCGACATACTTCTGATACGAGATGGTTTTGATGTTGAATCCAAGTGTGGGACTGATGACGCTGGTGTCTTCGCCATTGATTTTCAAAACAATGGTAGTCTTGCCTGAGTTGTCAAGGCCCCTGAAATACAAAAACAATGAACACAAATTTTAAGCAACCAAAAACAGAACATATATATATATATATATATATATATATATATATATATATATATATATATATATATATATATATCTGGACGATCAAAAAAATGCTGGAATTGTTAACATACACCATAAGAATGCGCATTTCTTTTTCTTTCCGCTTGATCTTTCGAATGATGCTCAGAAGTCCCATTCTATTGGCGTGTAGATGATTCTGTAGCAAAATCGCAAAGTTTGATTGAAAGGATGACGATAGAGATCAAACTGTAGCAAACCCTAGTCTCTCGTCGTCGCCTGAGCGGTAGCCGTCGCAGCCTCAGGCCGCCCTGATACTCAAGTTTTCCACCTTTTTGTTAGTGGTCTTGGATTAAGTTACTATTACTCCTTCCGTCTAAAGATGGTTGTAGTTTTATTATTTTTGATCAAATTGTAGAATTTCTTTTATCATAAATTATAGAAAAAGTATATTTAATTATAATGTAAATTTTGTAAAATTGAATTTATTTTAAAATATATTTAATTCGTGATCAAATAATGTCATAGTTTGACCAAAAAAAGTAAAATTATAGCAATCTTTTAGGAATGAAGAGAATGCTTCCTTTGTTTTAGAATTTCCCTTCGAATTAAATTTGACATGATTTTTAATAAAGTGGAATGTTAGTAGTTATGATTTGTATAGAGAAAAAAGATTTAATCTAGATCACATATTTGTTTTCTTAAAAGGAAAAGAAGAATATAATTCTAGAACGTGTCAAATAAAAAAGAAGGAAGATAATTACGAGACAAAGATAATGGTTGTTTGATATTTTATTGTTTAGAGTTGAACATTAAAAAAACTACTCTTTCTATTCCTAAAAGATGTCACAGTTTGACTTTTTTGACCAAATTGTAGCACCCTTTAACCATGATATTGAAAAAATATACTTAGTTAGAATGTAAACTTAGTAAAATTGGGTTATTTTAAAATATAGTTTTGAAATATCAAATTTTTATAAAATTTAATAATCTTAAATTATGTTCCTTCCGTCCAGGAATGATGTTCACGCTTTAACTTTTAGCCGTTTTTATGGGTGGTTGACTATGGGGAGGATTTGTCCAAAATACACTTCACTTAGCAAACACCCCAATTCTCGCTAGCCACCATTGCCGGCATCTCTTACTACAGCCACTGCCAACCCGGCAACCCCACCTTCTCTACAAGCACCTGGTCTCCACCTGCCCCCCACCACAGTCGTCGGTCCGTCCCTTGCCGCCATCCCCCGCCACCACGGCCAACCCCACCTTCTCCACTAACACCCACATCGCCTTCAGCCTCCACCACAACCACAAACGTTAGTCCCTCTATCGCCGCCATCCATCTCCATCAAAAATCTGGAAGAAAGAGAAGGCCTACGTGGAAGGGAAGAAGAAGAGGAAGAGGCGGATGGTGATTCTGTCACAGATCTGTTTGGATTTCGAATAAAGAGGGAGGAAAAGAGGATGATGAGAAGAATAAGAAGAAGAAGAGGGGGATCTGTGTGGATCAGAGAAAGAGCAGGGGAAGACAGAAGAATAAGAAGAAGAAGAAGAAGAAGATGGTGGTGGTGGTGGTGGTGGTGGTGATGATGATGGAGGATCGAATAAGTTAAAGAGAGAATTAAAGAAAAAGAATGAAAAATGAGGAGAAACAGAGAAAAAAGAGAAGATAAGGAGAAAGGAGTCAACCAAAGGAAAGAATGGAAGAAAAAAAGAGAAAGAAAGAATAGGGTAGTTTTGGAAGAGTTATAAAAAATAAGTAGAATGGGAACATTATTTTCAAACGAAAAAAGGTATGATGGGAACATCATATCCCATTTCCTGACGGATGGAGTATTGGTAATGGGTGATCAAAAGAATACTCGAGCCTTTTATGTAGAAGCTATTAAGAAAACGACATGATTGATCAAAATAATCAACCCCATCTCGAAGCAGATTGAGAAAAGTGAAGCACAAGCCAGACGTGAGCTAAAAGCTGGGATAGTATCATCTTTCACTTAGGTTTCTTGAAGAGTTTATTTAGGATTGGAATGAGCTTACAGCAAGAACTGCGTGACAAAATGATCAAGGTGTTTCGTTATTTCTTATAAATCTTCACATAGAATGTGGTTGATATGCCCAAAAACGTCGGAGTTCTCACTTGTCTGGCAAAAGAAGAGGAACTTGGTGAGCAAGTGGGGGAATTTTCTGACGAAGCAATTGCCCAATGACTTCTTGGGGGTCGACCATCAGAGAGGCATTGTATTTTGAATGGCTAACACCGTTGTCCTAACACCAGGGGCGGCTCAAAGGAGGGGCAAGGTGGTCACTTGGCCAGGGCCCATTTTTGAATGGGGCCCAATTTTTTGTATACATGTATATATTTATTTATATAAAAAATTTTGATTTATTTTTAAAAATATAGTCTTAAATCAGTAAATCTAATAAACTATGGAGAGGTGGTCAACCTATTTTCTCTCAAAAATAATAGAATAATTTCACGAGTCTTCGGTTAGGTACTAAAGTTCGGAGTATATAATTACAAACTTATAAGACTATGAGTTTGACATATTATTATTAGTACAATGTTATATATTATTAAAAAAATTAATTGATAAATTTTACTTTTTTTATCACACAATGACGCATTTTCTCCGTGTCGGACAGGGCCCCTAATTCCTTGGAGACGGCCCTGGCGCCTAACACCGAATGGAAACGTGATACTTATTAGAGGGTGTGTGTTGATTCTATACTGATTTGATGAACTCATGTTTGTTCGAGTTTGATCCTCTTGTAAGTTTGGACCAAATGGTGGATGTCATAACATGGTCTGTACTTTTACCAGTCTAGTCCAGAACTATTTTGTACAGCCTTACTTATTATCAATATTGTATCTCCCCTCAAACACAATGAGCAAAAGTCAATCAACCACACAAATAGTATTTGTTGTTCATTACGAAAAGTATTGTGAATGAACTAAGAAGGTGTTTGGAAGTGCGCTACTTTTAATAATTTAGCTTCTACTTTAAGTGGAAGTAATTTTACTCTGTTTGGCATGTCAGCTTCTGCTTTTCACTACAACTATTTTATACACAGAACACCGTTTCGGAGAAGCAGGTATGAGATGCTTTTGCTTTCAGCTTTTGTGGCAATCACTTTATCCACAAGTTAATCACTCCCAAACACCCTCTAAGTAAAATTGATTCATGTCGTACTTATTTGTATCTAAAAAAATTGAATCTTACTCTGTAATCCAACTACAAATACTATTTGTTAATCATTAGGTTAATGAATATGAATACAAATATATTCATATTCAATTCGATCACTAGAATAGAGGAATCCTCAAAGAGATGAGTGAAAATTATAAACTATTTTCATACAAAGAGCTTTTTAAAAAAATAGGGTAATGAAAGTCACTTTTTTAAGAAATAATTTACTCGTAAATGAAGTTTATAAGATATTTTAAAAATTAAACGAATAGAATATTTTATATACTCCGTACTAAATATCTTATACTCCCTCCGTCCCAAAAAGTTTGTTACGTTTAGAAAAAACTGCGTCCCGTAAAGTCCGTTACATCACATCAATGGTATTTTTGGAAAGTCAATACCAAAATATCTCTCCCTTAATTTCCCAAAAAGTCAAACCGTCCCATTCTTTTTGGGATAGAGGGAGTATAAGATAAACGAATTGAAACAAGTCTCTAAACACATTTAATTTGAATTGAATACCAATATAAATTCCATACAAATTAAGAAATACACACGCACATATACATACATACATACATACATACATACATACATACATACATACATATGTGTATATATATATATATATATATATATATATATATATATATATATATTCATTTCTGTACATTTAAAAATTAAATCTTTAATATACGAAGTATGTAATGACACTTTCATATAATTCATGAGAAACTACTACTCCGTAATATACAATTTTTAATGATTTGACTTTTGATTTTATCATTTCATTTATTTTGTTTTTTAAATTTAAGATCTTATTTTTTTATTTTTTAACTTTTATTTTTTCTACATATACTCCCTTCGTCCTAAAACTGACTTTTCACCTGACCTTTCACGGTTTTCAATACAACATTTTGATCATCAATATCTCTATTTTTATATAACTATATATTGTAAAAATATCATATTTCAAAACTATGTTTTAAAATAAATATATTTATATTTAAAAAAAATCCATAATATTTGGTCAAAATTTAAAAGATTTGACCACGAAATCAATCTCAGAAGTTAATTTTAGGAAGGATGGAGTATTATTGAATATCTTTCAAGAAAAACAATTAAAAAAATTTATTTTTCTAATAGTCAAGTTTAAAATCTACTCTTTTAACTTTTCATATCCTCTTCGTCCACATATAAATTTCCCGTTCACTATTCACAGGGTCTAACTTTATTCACTTTGTTGGCTTATTTTCGTCACTCATTTGTTAAAATAATATAATTATGTCACATCTAGTTTTGTAAATCTTTTTATATAGTTTTTAAATATGTAATTTTTATTTTTAAAATTTACACTATTTTTCATATAAAATGATTTGAAAATAACTTTAGTCAAGTAACATAACGCGCAACGGAAAATTTATTTATGGACGAAGAGAGTATTTTAACTTTTTAGATCAGATAACTAAGCGAAAAAGTCATTCGTCAAACAATAATATTAATTATTTAATTAGTTTAAAACCCCAAAATGAGTTAAAAGTTCAAAAACTATTCGAAAAGGTTGTTTTACAAAGAGATCCTATATTAACCATTAAAAAGTCAACGTGGTGTTGTCATCACTTGTTCCCCAAAAGTGATTCTTCTACCGTTGAGACGTTCACTTATTGCAAAATCTAAAAATCAATGCCAACTCTTCAATCCTAGTAAATTGGATGCATATACAAAGTCAAGATGGACTTTACAAGTCTAATTAGGGAGGGTTCAGGTGACATGAACCCAATGTCATCTTATGATATAGGCCTCGATTAAGGTATCTATTATGTTCTGTTCGAAAATTAAAATTGATGGTTCCTGCACTCCCGTTAATTGCATGGCACACGATTTAGTTGATTTTGGCGTCAAAATTGACGGGGCTGCGGGGGTATGTTCAGGCTGGTCCGGGAGTGGGGTGTTTATCGGGGGGTTAAGGAGGGTAGGAACCATCAATTTTTCGAACGAAACATAGTATAAACTTCGGGTCATCCCATGACATCGAGATCCAATGTCATTGGAACTAACGTGGTCTAATTAATGAAGAGTTGCCCTTTTTTCTATTATTACATATTATTATTGTTGTTGTTGCTGTTGTTGTTGTTTTTGTTATTGTTGTTAATTACAGAGTATACA